TTCTTCTTCAGCTTTTAAAAAATATGACCCTTAAAAAAAAAAAAAAACTTTTTGTGATTTTGATCTTTTCATAAGTAATTATAATTTTAACTTGTTAGGGGAAAAAAGCACACTTTTTGGAGCACATCTCCAGTCAAAAATCTCTGAACACATCAAATAAAGATTAAAACGACTGATCATCATTCACACAGTCTATTTGAAGTTTTCTTATTTATCGGGTTTTTCTTTAAAGACTTATGAGCTGAGAACAGTTTGATAACTAGTTGGCAGGTTGGGTAACTTAAAGACCCAAACTAAATCACACCTAACACATTTCACCTATCAAACACAATAAATGTTGTTAAATAAAAAAGATAGGCTGAACCTACAATACACCAAGATATCTATGCTGAGATGGATATATTTGTGGAGCTTTTTTAACTTTGATATAGCAACTAGGGATGCACCAATCCACTTTTTTAAACTTCCGATCCGATCCCGATACCTAAGTCTGAGTATCGGCCGATACCAATCCAGTTTCGATATCATGATCATCATTGATTTTATATGAGGCTGTAATAATCTCCTCTCAAGTACAATTTGTACAAATATATGCATGCATGTCCAAAAAGGCAACTTGAGGTAAGTTTTATTAATGTTGGATGTTTTAAAGTTAGAATTAAATTCTGCTAACACAAAACATGTTTCTTTTTATTCCTAGTTTTAAAGTGGATATTAAAGTGATTAATTTAAGTGAATGTTTAAAGTTATTTTATATTTTTTTTAAATAAGGGGCAAATAAGAATTTTTTTTCTTCTTCCTGCACTCTTTTCATTTAATGTTTTCTTTTTGATGATTTTTTTATTTTATTTTGTTTCTTTTAAATGAATGAATAAAATAAAATAAAATGTTAAATGCTTCAAACATCTGCTAAATTCATGGCATAAACCAACAGACATGTTCCCGTCTTTAGTATTTTACGTCACTTTATAATGTAGCTGTTTTTGTTTTTAATATATATAATTTTCAAATCATGTGTTTTTTTATGATTGTCTACTGTTGTACTGATAAATATCTCCTGGAGGGTAAACTATATCTTGGCTGCAAGTATCAAGCTGAGAAATCCTTTGTTTTCTACAACTGATAGTTGTTGGTCATGAATTATGAAGTTTAGCAACTTCTCTGTAAACATTTGAGCTCCATGGTTTCAGCGACGTCTTCTTCTTGTTCAATCCGAAGCAGGCAGCCTGATTTGGTGCAGCCGCGCTCAGTCTCCCCCTCCTCAGAGACGGGCAGACTGAGCGGGGCAGATTAGACGCGGCTGGCCGGTGTCGAGTCGCCTCTTTCAGTTTGACCAAAGAGTAGCGCCCCGCTGAAGCCACGGAGCTCGAATGTCCATCGTAAAACTAACTTTACCGTGGTTTAATGTGGCGCTATGGCTCTGCAGACATTGCATGTTGCTGTCTTGTTTTGTGGTGTTTCTAGTGTAAAATATTTCCACACAGCGGACATGTTTCGATGAAAAGTTGGTTAGCTGTTAGCCACAGTGCTGCTAACTCAGTCCTCACGTTGTAGCTGGCTGCAAACTATGAACTGGATTTCCTGAATGTGAGGCGGGTCTTATTACTCTGGGTTCATGAGACACGCCTCCGTTCAGGAAATCCATTCCATAGTTTGAAGCCAACATGCATCATGAATTGGAAATATCGGCAGGTGGATCGGGAAAATCCGATACGTAAATTATGCTGGTATCGGAGGCCGACACCGATACTGGATCGGATCGCCCCCATCCCTAATATTATATATATATATATATATATATATATATATATACACCATACTGTATGAACTGCTGGAGTTAGCCACATTAAAACCTTAAATTGTCCTTTGGCTTTCTGACAATAACTGCTTCTGAGAAAAAGATCAAATTGACCACCTAAGTGCTTAAAAATAGTATTTATAAAAAATGTGTCCATCATAAGCTAGTCAGTCTTTTAAAGCTATCTCAGTAAGAAATAACAATATCAGATTTATATAACTTGTTAACTTTTAGCGCCTCAAGAGTCTTAGGTGTACAAACGAACATTCTGGGGGTTTTTTTGTTCAACCTTTTTTATTTTAAGTCAATTTAAAAAATAACAAGAGACACATCAACAAACTAAAATACAGCAATCTGTAACAATGGCCAGGACAAGTAAAGACCTTGCTTTTACTTTGACCTTCATTTGCGACCTTGATCTTGAACCTGGGGTAATGAAAAGTGTTACCGACACTCAGGCTAGTGACGATGCAAAAGTGTATCAAGTTTTATTAAAATATCTTGAGCAGATCAGAAGTTATAAGTCAGTCAAGAGGAAGGTTGCTAACAGTCGAAGACTATTTCATAAAATGTCCCTCCTTTCGACAAGCGTATAAAAAAGTGATTTTCTCTCCATGGGGTTTTTTTTTTTTTGGAACTTTTATTTATTTATTCCAGTCAGGGGTTTTTAGAAGACCATAGCTCCTCACTGTACCCAAAGACCCATCTGGTTCTGCGAAGAGGCCTTGTTTTAGGTCAAGCCTGAATGAGTTGGTCACTGAACCATTTTTGAAAATACTGTTTTTTCCCAAATGTTTCACAACGCAAGTATGTTTTGGCTTTTCACATTTGATCTAAATCGGTTTTGTGAACTGAGAAAAGAAACCGGGCTGCAGCAGCTAATTGCAACCGCAAATCAGTCAACTTTATTGGACAGGCAGCAAATATTCAAGACGGTGCATTGCTTAAATAAATTGCATTCATAATGGATTTCAATGGGTCAATTGTTCCCCTTAGGAACACTAAAGAATAGTCAAGTGGTTGCGAGTTCAAAAGTTTATAAGTTCTTGAAAAATGCTTAGAATCTGTCAGGACTGGTCGTGTTTTATGACAACATCAAAGGCGGAAAAAAGCGTGAGTGATTTATCTCCACAAAACTTTCTGAGGGTTAAAGATGGCTACTACAATCACCTGACATTATAAAACACATATGGCAATAACTATCGCAGTTTTGCAAAGTAAGAATGGACACGACACACAACTGATTGATAGATGAGCCGCATGATCGGCATGGAATTTTTATTTAAAATAAATTATTTTAAATGATTTAGCACCTGCAGCATGGTGGCACAACTGGTAGAGCTGCTGCCGCTCAGCGAGAATGTTGCCGGTTCAAATCCCGGTCCAGGGGCCTTTCTGGGTGGAGTTTGCATGTTCTGTCCGTGCATGCGTGGGTTTTCTCCGGGTACTCCGGTTTCCTCCCACAGACCAAAAACATGCATGTTAGACTGATTAATGACTCTAAATTGTCCCTACATGTGAGTGAGAGAGTGAATGGTTGCTTGTCTCGTTTGTCTCTATGTGTCCCTGTGATGGACTGGAGACCTGTCCTGGGTGTCCCTTGCCTCTCGCACAGTGACTGCTGGACATGGCTACCAGTGACCCCCACGACCCCAAAAGGAAGAAGCGGGTAAAGATAGTGGATGGATGGATTTAGCACTTGCTACACCTGTATGCAGCCCACACTGCAGGACAAGTTTCCTCCTGCAGCTGATCTCCACTCTGCAGTGGAGAAGTGGGCGTGGCCGAGAGCGCTTGCAGGTGGCAGAGAGCAGCAGAGGCAGAGAGCTGAAATCATGACATTCTGTGATCTTTTAGAGTGTTTAGAGACATTGTTTAGAATATAGCTTACTTTTTAAATATCAGATTCCTGAATTATGCATCATCACCTAATCTTCTCAGAAACAGCCATTTAGGGGGACACTAAGGAAAAACAAATAGTATCACTAGAAAGCTCAAACGACCAGTTCGCCTTTAATCCAAACTTGAGTTTTGCAACACGGCTTCATTTAACGATGATTTATTCAGATTGGATTTTCAGGACAATAGAAAAGAGTCAGAGAAAGATTTGTCTCTATCAGCATGTTTTTAATAATTTAAAATCCAAGTATTTAGGATGAAGGAACTCACCACCTCCGAGGCGGGAACATGAAGAAGGTTTGGGGGATGATAGCTGGAGGACAAAGCCTGGGACTCCAGGGTGCTGGAGTCCTGCAGCTGCTGGACCGTGGAGAACTGGGTCTGGTTGTAGCTCGGTTCAGTCATGGTAAAGCCTGAGCAGAACAAATGGAGAATAAATAAGCTAAAATGAAAAAGATTAAAGCTGAAAGAAGAAGGGCACTAGCTAAAGCTAAAAGTAGTAAAAGGCTAGCTAAAAGATACAAATATCCAAAGGCTATTGGGAAGCTGAAAGTAGCAAAAAGCTAGCTAGCTAAAAGATAAAAGTACCAAAAGAAAGGCTAAAAGATAAAAATATCAAAAAGCTAGCTAAAAGCTGAAAGTACCAAAAAACTAGCTAAAAGAGAAAAGTATCAAAAGAATGGCTAAAAGATAAAAATATGAAAAAGCTAGCTAAAAGCTGAAAGTACCAAAAAACTAGCTAAAAGATAAAAGTATCAAAAGGCATAAAAAGCTGAAAGCAG